CAAAAAATAAAATGAAGATAAAAAAAGAGAAAACAAGTCTGTAAAAATCCACCCTTACAGCTTGCTGGTGTAAAAAAACCCAGAAAGCAGTAAAAATCCAGTTCACAATGGGACAATCTTGCCAATTCCTTAGGACAAACATCTAATTAAGTACTCCACATCTCATATTGAAAAAAACACTTCTGTTTCCATGCAAGGAGGCCTCTTCAGTGAGGCCTCTTCAACCCTCCACAATTAGACAGGAAAAAAAAATTACTTGATCATTTTATGAATTAGAGAAGTGTGCTCACTTACCTTCTAAGCATGTTTTGCTTTGATAAAATTTCAAAGCCTTTTCTTCTACACATGTTAAATACTTGTGCAGATATGCAGAAGCCAGGTCATGTACAGAATGCTGAAAGGTTAAATGGCAGGTGTGCACAACACTTTTGTAATTTGGAGAATAAGTGATAGACGATACATTGCTCTTATTACAAGAAAGAAAGGAGAAGAGAGAAAACACTCTCACAATCCAGCTGTCTGTAGTTTTAGTGTGAGGATGACTCATCTGCATTAATTTTCTAGTATTAAACTATTGAGCATCCTTATTCTTTGTGATCCAGGAAATTGATGACTTTTATTCTTGCATGCTGATGTGTTTTTTACTTTTCACTCTGTTTCACACATCAATAAGGTTATCTAAACATAGCAACTTCAAATGAAGCTGCATTGCCAGAAGTTAATGGACAAGCAGTGATGTGACCAAAAATAGCTAAATGAGAATGTTTTGCACACCTGTCTCCTAAAGGATAGATGCTTGCCAAAATATAGGCACACGGCACTTTTTACAGTCATTACCTTCAGCAAGATACAGAGTATCAACCAGCATAAATAAGGCACCATGGGATGCTCCAAGCTGATGACACAGGATGGGTTTGTACTGGTTGCTGAGAATTGCCTTTTGCTGTCATAGTGGTGACAGGCACACAAAACAGGCTCCTGTAAAATCTGTACAATTCTTTCCTTTCTCAAAGCTTTCCCTTGCAATGCAATGAAGTTCCTTCACACAGACTGTCTGATGGGACTCACACTGGTGAAAATTTTCAGATGTGCCCAAGTATTTAAAAATAGGGGATAAGAGCACATCTTGGTAGCCTACTCACCACCCTTTGACAAGGTGGTCCACAATTCCTCCATGCATTTGTCAAAGGAGAAACACTGTCACCAGCAAAGTTTCCACTACATTATTGTGTAGTATATGTATAATTGTATATGACACTATTGTATATGTCCTTTCTCAAACACTTCTGAGTGTGCTGAACAGAACAGATTCTAACCAGATGCTTTTTGCACTCTGTTGAAGACTCTTCTGTAGTATGAAAGCTGCTAATTTCTTCCTACCCTCTTCTGTATGTGTCTCATTCAAGAGAATGTGCAAAACAATTCTCATTTATGAATCAATGCCCGCACTCTCCCTCTTAACCTAGGAGAGTTGGATGGAGTTCCACACCTTACACACCTTGTCTGTATGCATGAAGAACCCTGCAGAGGTGTGAGACATGACTGTCCCTTACAGAGCTGTGGTAACTTTGCGTTAACATTTTGCCTTTATTCCATTGCATGGCATAGAAGAACATGTAAATTAAATATATCTCAATACAGGTATAGTCAGGAACAATTAATTGTTTGCAATCTTTAACTTGGCACATTGGGTTCACTACTTTGATTCCTCTGCTAGAAATTCTATTACCTTGCCTCGTACAGATGTCATGCTTACCCTCATAGCTCCTTAAATACCCCCTAGAATCTGTAAAAAAAAAATAATAAAATGTAACCACTATTACAATTATTTCTCCTCTCTTTGCATTTCTGCTAAGTCTAAGTCTTTGCATTTCTGCTTTGCATTCTGCTAAGATGCATACTTTCAACCATGCCTCACTTCAAGGTTACAGAAAAGTTACAGGGAAATATTGTTTTCTGTAGCCTCTAAACAGCCTGGGACATGAAAAGTAAAGCCAGAGTATGAAATTTATGAAGTCAAATGCTAAATCACACCTTTTGAAACTTCTTTTCTACAGACAAATGACTACGTTGCTGTAGTATCAAAATTTTGACTGCAAATAGCAATCCATCTTATTTTAGCCAGACTCCAGGCTGAATGGATGTTGATAAACTCTTGCAGGTGGTGGGATTTGGCAAAAAATAGTCTGCTATTAAAAAAAGGTCACTGATGACCTAATGCATATTCTGAACAAGAGATCACATTGGGCACCAAACTGAAGCCATGAATTATTATTTTCTGCTTACAGTAAGGTACTGAAACAATATTGGAAGCAGGAACTAGAAGTGAGAGAACCATGATCCTGTGCATACCTGTACTCAGGATCAGACAATGCACTGTAGTACTCTTGGGTTGAGCCAGAAGTGTGCTAAAGGGCTGGGAGAAATATGCTGGGCAAAGAAGATTACAGCATTTTGGATGATTTCCTTGAAATAAGTGATCCCTGGCAGAAGAAATGGCTTTGCATGTTCTAAGCAAGAATTCAGGATATTACCCTGCTAGACATAGGGGCACATAGTGAGGAGCAACTCTCTCTGTGTCTTAAAACTGCTAGCTGGAAATGTGCCATAAGAGGTGCTGATCCAGCTTTCAAGGGTTTGCTTAAACTATTGAACTGAGCTTGGAAGGGTGAAGACAGAAGAATACCATACTTGGCCCAGGTAAGAGAATGCAGTCATCAGTGTTTTCAGTGCTAGGACAGTTTGGGGTTTGGACAGAAGCATCATTGTGGAGAATGAGGAAGTTTCATGGAAGGAGAGCCTGATGTGCTGACTGCTTTAGGATCACTGTGCAGGCCTCTGAAACCTTGTGGTTTAACCCCAGCTGGCAAACAGGCACCACGCTGCTGCTTGCTCACTTTCTCCCATGGAATGGAGAGAAATGGAAGAGTAAAAGTGAGAAAACTTGTCATTTGAGGTAAAGACAGTTTAATAGGGAAAGCAAAAGCTACTCATGCAAGCAAAGCAAAACAAGGGATTAATTCACCATTTCCTTTTGGCACGCAGGTGCTCAGCCATTGCCAGGAAAGTCAGGCTCCATCATGCATAACAGGTTCTTGGGAAGACAAATAGCATAATTCCAAATATCTCCCCTTATTTCATTTTCCCCCTCCAGCTCTATATGCTGAGCATGATGCCATATGGTGTGGGATCATCCCCTTGGTCAGTTGGGGTCACCTGTCCTGGCTGTGTCTTGTCCAGACTCTTTGTGCACCCCCAGCCTTCTCACTGGTGGGGCAGAGGGAGGAGCAGAAGAAGCCTTGGTGCTGTGCAAGCCCTGCACAGCAGTAATGAAAACATGATTTGTTTTCAGCACAAATCAAAACATAGCCTCATGCTAGTCACTGTAAAGAAAACTAATTCAATCCCAGCCAAAACCAGCACAAGCCCTCATTAAGCAAGTTGCATTTCAAAAGCTTCAAGCCTTTTTCTGTTTATCTTGCAAGACCTTTGGCTTCTGTTTCTTTATGAAATGGGTAGAGCCATCATGGGTAATGTGATTTGAAACTACTGTGGAAAAGGTAAATATGTTTATTCCAGAGGCCCGATGCCAGACACAAAAGGAGTGGCAAGTGAGACATGCCATAAACAGGCAGAGCAGAAGCAGGAAATACTGAATGCCACCGGGCTGAAGTTACAAACACTCTTTTAAAAGAGGAACTGGTTAAAATAAGGCCAAATTCTAACTCTCATCTATGAAGCAAAAATCAGATTCAAATAAACTTTCAAAGTAACAGATTTTTCAAAATTGTCTGGAGATTTCTATGCTATAGATTGGGCGCTGTGCCAGCATTTCTAAACACTGTGAGTAAGCAATATGCAAGAACACAAATTTTTTAGATTGAACCTCCAAATCCCACACATTCGGTAATCCATGGAATCACATTCATGGATGCATTTATTACAGACTAAATGACACAGAGTGTGCACAGGGCTTAGGGAGCTTTCTTCTGATGAAGCACAAAGACACACAAATGTTACTTGGACTGTACCTGGGATTTACGCTTCTGCTATGAAGGAACCAACAGGGTTTTTTTGTAGCATGAAGGAAGACCCATTCTAAAAGAAAAATTCTATAATTCTATGGAGGAAGTATAATTCAGTGCCACAGTGACAACTGTCCTGGAGTTAAAAACTCCCCCACCTATTGAGATACTGGCCAGGCATAATTTAAAGAACAGTGTATCCTCTAAATGGAAAATATAGAGACCCTAGAAAAATTAAGTTAGCAGTAGACCAGCTCTAAGGGAGCTCTGCATTGGCTGCCTTGATCTGCTCACACAGAAAAACCCTGATTATTTTTGTTTTCTCCTTATATGTTAGCAGAAATCCTTTTTGGGATAATATATGACCAGGAGTGGTACGTCTGTGCGCTTCAGCACGGTATGACTGGAAAATCACACTCAGCAAATGAGTGCACGGAGATTTTTTTTCTTAGAAACATAAAAACTTAAGCCCATAGCTTCTGAAACACTTGGGCCTTTAGTCTCAAGTTTCCTTCCCAGCCAGCCTCGTGCTGTCCCTGTGGAAAAGTGGAGCCATTTCTGCAACCAGCACAGGTGGGCACCTGTGGGCACATGCTTTGTCTGCCCAGATCTACGGGATCAGATCTCCTGTGTAAAATCATACACGCACACACAGGACTTGCCTGTGGGTCAGGGCAATCCCAGACACAAACACGGGCTGGGCAGAGGATGGATTGAGAGCAGCTCTGAGGAGAAGGACTTGAGGGTGTTGGCCGACAAGAAGCTCGCCATGACCTGGCAATGCGCCCTCAGCCCGGAATGACAGCCTTTGGGGCGTTGGAATCAGATGATCCTGAAGGTCCCTTCCAATCCAAACCATTCTATGTCTCTATGACACGTGTAGGTATTAACAAACGTGAATATTTATGCGCTCTAAATAGGTTTATACAGTCAGACGACTGGCTGCGCGCAGGCGCGGGGTGTCCCTCGCAGGCCGCCGTCGCGCTCACATGAGCGGTGTCACATGACGACGGCAGCGCGGGGCCGGCGGGTGCGCGGTGCTGCCCGGGCCGCCCGCGGCTCCCCTCGCTCTTCCTCCCTCCATCCCTCCATCCCTCCCTCTGCTTCCTTCTCCCAGCCCTGCACGGCCTCCGCCGCCGGCACGCCCCTGCGGTGAGTGCGAGCTGCCCCGGGCCCTGGCGCGGTGGGTGCCGGGGTCAGGCCGTGCCGCCTCACGGCTCTGGCGGGGGCTTTGCGGGCCCCGAGCGATGCAGGGAACGGCAGGGCCGTGCCTGGTCTGCCCCAGGCGCCTCTCTGCTTCTGCCGCTTAACTGCGGCTCCTGAAACCACTGGTACCGACTCTGCCCTCGGGTGGTGTTTAAATGGCTCTGGGTGGGACAGAGCCTGCGAACCTTCAGTGGTCATTGAAGGACGTAGTGGTGCCGCCTGTGTACCCATGGAAGTGGTTTCAGAGGGAGGGCATTTGTCCTCCTCCGTTTGCCCAAGATAGTTCCTAATTTTTGCTTGCTTTTGTTAGAACTGCGTTTTCATTCAGTCATAAAAGCAGGGTGTGCTTGCGAGGAGTTGACCTGAATGTGCCAGTCTGCTCTTGCTTGGTCTGTAAGGGGGCCAGAACAGTCCAGAAACAGGCTGTGTGGAGAGGCTGGGTACAGTTCAGGTTGTAAGGAATTCTAGCTCTAGCTGGATCTGGAGTCTCTGGCAACACAGTTCTTGTTTTGGCATCAAAGTCAGGTGGAGATTTAAACCATAAAGGAAGGGGAAAGAAGTGGTGAAGGTCACTATCTGTGGTAATGTGCTATATCCTGATAAAGAGCTTCTGTTCGTATTTATTTTTCAGTTTGCTTTCTGTACATTAATGATCTTTATTTTCTTGTTAAGTCTATGTAGCATGGTTTTAATTTATATACTTACGGGTTTTTTTTCCTCCCTGATGTAGTTTGCATGTTTCTAATGTCTAAATATTCCTGGACCTGAAGTAAATCAGTCCTAATGTGTGAGGTGGGGAGGATATACACTGGATTTTAACTCTGGAAAGCAGGTTTGGAAAGAAGACAGGTTCTTTTATCTGTAGGGCTACTTGGATGATGCAGAAGAGTCACCTCAATTCAAGTAACTTAGTTGCATTGTTTAAGGATTCACAAGACTGGGAGTTTTTTAGTAATGGTCTGTGTCTTATTTTTAGCTTATTAGTGGCTACAGATGAGTGTGTAGGTATGGCTTATTTTTGTTTCCAATAAGCCACCTTTTAAATATTTTATGAAACTTGGATTTTTTCAGAAACGAACTAGTACAGTGTTAAGGAAAGGGACACCTGGAAACAGATTTTTCTTTTCATTTCTTTAAAATATTGGACAAATACTCTTCTGTTTAATAAGAGGTCTCAAATCTGATTTGCATTTCTAGGTACATTTTAATTATCAGTCAAGATGGATATCCGAGGTGCTGTAGATGCTGCTGTCCCAACAAACATCATTGCTGCCAAAGCTGCTGAAGTTCGGGCAAACAAAGTAAACTGGCAGTCATATCTCCAGTAAGTAAAAAATTTCCACATGCTTTTCCCCTTCTAAGTGTTAGACTTCTTGAGATTTTAATGCACAGTGGTGCATTATGTTGCAGTGAAGAGTGTTTTGTCTACATGGAAGTAGTTGGAAAAAGTCTACAATAAATGGAAGTGGCCGTGGAAAATTTCCTTGTGACTTATTACCAGAAGGGGAACTCTACTTGTGTCAACTGAATGCTGCAATAGCAAATAGTACAGGCTTGCTCAAATGTGTGGTAAAACTGTTTGTTTTTTTTTTTTTCCCTGATAATTCAAATACCAGTCTCAATTTCAGCCTTAGTGGATAACTGCTAAATTAAGAGTTTACAGTAATAATTGTCTTAAGTGTAGGTATGGTATGTTTATTGCTGAAGGGCTTTTTGTGGGAATACAAATTGTACTAGCAAAACTGGAGTGGTAATCCAGGAGAAGAAGCTGTACCTTAAGTAAAGGAACATGAATTCTGGAGGACAACTTAAGCAAGTAAATCAGGGAATAGGCTGAAATGAATACTTCAGTCTGGGGAGAGCTGTGCTGGGGTTCCAGGCAAGTTTAGTGTTTCATTTTGTGTGGATGTGATGGCACTAGAAGAAGCAAGAGAAGTACTGTCCTGAGAGGCTGCAGAGACAAGCTGAGGAAAAGTTTTATGGGTGAGGGAAGAAACAGGGAGAAGAAACAGACTTCCACTTGTACTTTGAAGTGAAATGAAACATTCTTGCAGCCTGTTCCTTGTGACAGGTAGGTATAGGAAATATTGACAAAGTGTAAATTACTGTTTATAACAGCAAATTCTTTTATAGTTAATTGCTTTGTAACTAAAGTGGCAGAAATCCTCATGCTTGTAGAGGTACAAACCATACTGATGATGCTTTCTGATTATCAACACTATACCAAGTCAGAAAAAACAGGTATTTTTCAGATTGGTGTGGTACATATTTATATATCATATATTATATAACCTTGCAAAACTGTACTCATGTGAGCTGAGAAATGCTAACCCAGTGGAATCTTACTAATGACTATCTGCTTTGTCCTGACCTGTGTATTTCAAACTTGCTTATTCCATTCATTAAATTCCCAAGAATCCATTATTCTTTTTGATGTGATTGTATATCTGCAGGATAAATCTGCATAAAAGAACTGATCTTCTGAGAAAACTTTTTTTTTTGCTAGGCTATTCTTAAGCCGGATCAGTTCCTGGCTGAGTTTGGTACTTAGTGTCTTTGCAGGTGAAAGAGAAAGGTTGGGGTGGTAAACTGACATTGGCAGCTCCCAAGCACTTCTCAAACAATCTTAAGTGGCTTTTGCTGTAACTGTGTGCCCTTCTATCTGTGAGACAGGACGTGTGTCCCAAAGATACCTGGACATCAGTTACTTTTCTGTCCTAGTGGCAGTGAATTTGCAGTTACTTGGGATGAAAGTGGGAGTACTCTTGTTCACTGTTCATGGAAATGAATATGAGATTCTTTCACTGCTTCTCTGATGTTTCTATAGGGCTGGTGAAAAAAATCTGTTACTTTTGTTGGTATAGGGGATGGTTCTATTTGACAAGGAGTTGAATTTATGTAGTTTTTTTTTTTTTTTTTTACTGTGTGGTCTGCTGTTAATCATTTTCATTAGTTCTTGGGATTCTCTCTCTCTGGTGCAGTATATGAAATGGGGAGTTTTATTTGTAAATCTGGCAGCAAATTTTTATGTAACTTCTTTTGATCAGAGGGCAGGGTCCTTTTTTTGGATTTTACCTGTAGAATTTGACTTGGTTTTGTTCTGGAATCTATGAAGGAACAAGAAACTAGTTATTTCCTCTCATGGAATTAGCTAGGTTTTGGAGGCTATTATAGTAAATCTGGCTATTGTTTGTGATCCTATGAGAGGATGAGTGAGGCTTTTTGATGCTTGGTGTCCTTTGTGTGTCAATAACAGTGTGTCCTCTTTATTATTGCTCTGAAATAAAATTAAGTTTTGTGTCTCATATTTACTGATAACAGCCTGGATGTCTGGCTAAGCTGGCTTCAAGGATTGACTTAAATGATGCCAGAGGGATTGTGGAGCTTCTTGAAGGTAACTACTTCTTTGGCTGAGGAGTTTCCTTATAGTGAGCTGTTGAAAAACATCAGCAGAACTTTTGATGCTTTCAAAGGAAATAAATTCATACCTTGATTTGGACATGTCATTTTTTATAATGGACAGGTTTGGATGTGATGGTGTCTTTGAGGCTGAGCTTTAAGGGATTTCTTGGAAAGTCAATCACTGCAGTTATAATGATTCGTTTCTGGAATGAAGCACATTATTAAATGAGTGGAAAGTACTTTCATTGGTGCACCTGTTAGAGGCAGGTCAGAGTGGTTTGTTTTGGTCTGGTTTATGGAGAAGGAAAATAGGGTGCTTGAAAGGACAGTTCTCTTTGTTTTGAGCACCTTATTCTGATTGTCTGTGCACTTACTGTGGTAAACTTTTATATTTATATATTTATATATGAAGGGATTACTTCAGCTCATCAGATGTTTTTAAGTTAAAGGAAATATTTTTTGTTTTCCCTAAGTTAACACATCAACTCAGGTGTGAAATGATTTTTGCTTCTTAAACATGATTTATGCTTCTTGAACTAGAGGCAGAAACTGTAATACTGAGACAGTTGAAGTCAGAGAACTTTGCAAGAAATTCTGATGAAGTGTTTTTCTCCTCTGCCTGTGGCAGAGGTGTACAAGGTGCTTTAAAGATTGCATCACTTGTAACAGCACTGGACTTCGGGTCACACCTAAGGGCATTCTGAAGTTCTTTTTTCCTCTCTCTGTTCTTCAGTGCAAAAGAAAAATGGCTTAATTGTAGCTGGTCAGACTTCAGTAGCCTGACTTTCCTTGTAGAGTCAGTTCAAACTAAATATTAACTGACACAGTGTTTATTCCATCTCTGAAGGTTGTAACTGTAAACTAAATATCAAACTACACCACCACAACTGCTGACTTTTGATCTTTTTTTCTATATACTGTTATATATAACATTTGTCAGCTTGCTTGTGTGTTTACTGCTCCTTACAAAATCAGGAGAAAGATTGTTTGTTTCCTGGTGCTAAAATTTATCCTTTCTTTGTCTTGGATTCCAGCTGGGGTCTGTGTCTGAGGGAGAAGAAAGTAACAAAGCTTGTAGCAGTGGAAAGTGATGTGTAGGTCTGTCTTTGGAAGCTATTAGTTCTGTATGGACTTTGCTGCCTTTGGATCTTGAGACTTGTTGCAGTTCAGAGGTGTGGGTGCACTCCTTGAGTTAAAAAGGCATTTGCTGTTTTGCTCTGTGTGGTTGCTTTCAGCATGTGCCTCAGGGTGTCAGAATGCCAGGGGAGGGTGTTGGCTTGCTTGAAGCAGGTTTGGGTTTGCTTTCTTAGGGTCGCAAATGAGTTCTGTGAGAAATTGAACTTGCTTCAGCATTTAACTTGCACCTTACTGCACTGTAGGTTTCTAGATACACAGCATTTGACAATACTGTATATTTAATCAGATGAGATACTTGATGGCTAATTTGTACATAGTTTCCTGTGTGTTTTCAAGTATCTCACATGTGTGTTTGTGAATTATGATGCTAAAATGTCTGTTCCATTTTCCTGGTAGTGGAAGAATCTTCTAAAGCAGGTTAAATATCTCAGACTTTAAAAGTCAGTCTTGTCTTAGAGGAAATATAGAGGTTTCCTAATTTGTAGTATGTGGGGGTTTTCTTCTGTTTTGTTTTGGTTTTTTTCCCTCAAATCTGATTGAGTCTTGAAGAGTACATTCATTCTGTTTTACTGTTTTAATTTTGTAGTGCTAAAACTGTTGAGCAGTTGGATAAATTTAGTGTCTTTAGATACATACAAAGTACTGCAGATATGTGGATAAAATAAATTATGCCTTGATATGATGGTTTTATATGAGCTTCATATTTGCTGCATATATAGTCAATTTTTTTATATTAAAAACCCAAAACAAAGTAAAAACTAAACAAAAATACACTAACCTTCAGAGTGTCTTTTGTTAAATCATTCAAACAAACAACAACAACAAAAAAAAAGGAACAAGAGTTGATGGAGGAAATGCACAAAGAAGGAATCACAAGCTTCTGAGTCATATTGAGCAATCAGGCAGATTTAAAAATGGCGGTCTCGCAAATTCATATTTTCTGAATCCTTGTGTTTCAGTTTTGTCTCCTCTTGGAAGTGCTCTCAAAGGCAGCTCTTGGTATCCCGGGAACAGAGTTTTGAAAGGTGCTTACAGGGCTCCTGTCCTAAACCTGATGTACTTGGACAGGAGGGAGAGAAAGGGGGGAAATTCACATGTTGAGATAAAGGGACTTTAATAGGACAGAAAAGGAAGAGAGGAAAAAAAAAAAAAAAATCTTACTAGATCTGCAACACAGAACTGTATCAGCTACTGGGAAGAATATTAGCTATCCCAGCTGAAACCAGGACACAGAAGCTCAAAGTGACTTCTATCTTGGCAAAAGACTGTAGACACGTCCTGGAAAATAACAAGTTAAATGGCTGCTAAGAAGAAAGATGGAGGCTTTGGTTGCTTGTTTGCTGAAAGGTGCCAGGAAATTTCTGTTGCTTTGAAGAGGGGGTGAGGAAAATGTGTAATAGCATCATGGGACTCAGTATCAGCTGTCTGAGGCTGTTCTGCACTTTCTCATGATTTTTGGTTAGTTTTTCTTACCCCTTCCTCCACTGTGTAAGGTTTACTGTATAATCAGTAATTTCAGTTTTAAAATGAGATGAATGGAAATAGATGCATTTGAAATTACTAAAACTATTTATCAGATGTATGAGTTCCTTGATAAAATATTAACAGCTTGTTTAAAAAGCTGTCAGATCCCTTGTAATGTTTTGTATGGGTTGGAAGATATATTTTTGAATGGTACTAACAAAGCGATAAAGAATAAACTTTAATGTCTTTTTTTTCCTTACAGCAATATCAATCCCCACATCTTTTTTTCTTTTTTTCCTGTGGACTAATGTAGGATGAAAGCAAAAGCTTGAAAGCATTTTTTCCTTTGCAGGTGGCAGACCTCTTCTAATAGCTTGACTGTAAAGAAGTATCTCTCTTCATGGACTGAGGCTTTCTCCAACATTAAAGCTGAAAATTAAGGGTTCATCTTAGGTCATTTTTGAAGTGTTTTGTAAATGGCAATATTCTTGTAAACAAGCAGCTTATCTGGTTACTTTTTTATCAGTATGATCCATGAATCCCTGGCTTGGTCAACATTATTTGAAACGAAAGAGGCTTCTAGTTATGGGTCTTTAAATTCAGCATTTGTGGCAGATGAATTGTCCATCTCTTTCTGTAACTATTTAAATCCACCTTAATAGGCAAGAAAGAGCGTAGGTCAGTCTAAAAGGCATGGTAGCAGCATGGTCATCATTGGCCAATCACATATGATTCATCTATCATCTATTTAAGTTTTTGCAGAAGTTGGGCAAGGACTACCCGACCACTGGCTTTAGGAATCTTCCTTCTACTAAATCTTGATTGCCCTTCCTCAGTGCATATGAAGATATCTGTAACAAAGCAGCTGGAATACAGGAGGAGCATATATGGCACTGGACTACTTATGTTCTTTGCTTGGATAGTAAATAGATAAAAGAAAGAGGAAAGAAAAGAACACATTGTAGGTCTTACTTTGCTATTTCAAGAATCCAGGTGAGCCAGTTGGGAAAAAAAAAGTGAACACTTCTGCAAAGTTTGCAATGATTTTAATGTAATCTCTAGTCATGGAACATCTGGAAACTGACCTTGAATATGGAAAAGATGGGTGAAGAGTCCATGCTACATAGTTTTGCAAAGTGGAAGAGGCATTTCATTCAGTGGAAATATTAAGAGGAGATGAGTCTTGGAAATAACTGAAGCAGGAATGTCTCATGCTTTCATCCCCTGTGACTGTGCATGATTTTCTTTTTTCCTGATGCCCTCCTGGTATTACCTAGTAAAGCAAGTCACCAATTAAAATCTTGAATATTTTTAGGATTACTTGATTTAAAATTACTTTTCTTACCTGAAGAGTACCTGACCATACTATTTTGACAAATTTTTTTATTTCTGTGTTAGGAAAAAAACTCAGTAGTGTTCTGCAAGTCTGTCTGACTCTTCAATTGAGTCTGCAGCTTTCTGAAATGGCACTGATGATGGCAGTAACCATTTGGATATTAAGTTGAAAAGAAGATTAAATAGACATCTGTTCTCTTATAGGTGTCCACAACTAGTCACTATATCAAGCCCCCTTGCTATGTGTTTGGATGAACTTGCATGCATATCAGTTTTAAAACTCAAGATGTGATCAGTGAAAGCTAAAAATAAATTAGGAACCATGATCTCTGTTCTCCTTACAGTTTTCTTCAGTGCTTACAGCAAACTTAAAGTAACAAGTAATTTTGTTTTTCAGCTCTTATTTCTTGGTTGGATTAGACTGTTATTCATGTTATGTATTATCATTTTGGCATAACATGCTAGCTGTATGTAATTCAGTTCTTATCACTGACATGTCATTCAGTCCCTGGAAGTTTAAAAATTATTTAGAGAGTGCTGTTCAGAGGTGATGCATAGGGAAGACTTCTGAGAGATTATTGCACCATTAGTTTTAAATTTTTTACATGAGACCCTTTGCAGGAAGGAGCTCGTTACAGTTTTTGTGGGCTACAGCACTGGTGAAGTGATGTGATTGATACTGTATGTTCTCTACTCTGCCCTTGCAAGACCCTGCCGGAATTGCTGAATCCAGCTCTGCAGTCCTCAGCACAACAAAGACACAGACCTGTTGGAGCAGGATCACCAAGATGGTCAGAGGGCTGGAGCACATCTACTGCAAAAACAGGCTGAGAGAGTTGGAGTTGTTTAGCCTGGAGAAGAGAAGGCTTTGGGGAGACCTTCCAGTACCTGTACAGGGCTTATGAAAAGGAGGGAGAGAGACTTTTTTGTACAGGCATATAGCATGGCTGTACAGAACAATGGGCAATGGTTTTGAAACAGGGCAGGTTTAGATTAGATGTTAAGAAGAAATTCTTAACTGTAAGGTTGGTGAGGCAGTGAAACAGGTTGCCCCAGAGAGTTCTGGTTGCTTTATCCTTGGAAGTGTTCAAGGCCAGGTTGGATTGGGCTCTTCGAGGTTACTTCCAAACCAAACTATTTTATGATTGTATGATAGCTCAAGATGAAGGAAACAAGGTTTGTATGGTGGGTTGACATTGATGGGTCACTAGGTGTCCATCAGGACAGGACACACTTGCTCTTTCAAAATAACAAGGGAAAAATGACAGAAAACTCTGGGGTTGAGGTGTGAGGACAGGGAGATCACGGACCACTTACTGTCATGGGCAAAACAGGCTCTACTTGGGGAAATTAATTTATTACTGATTAAATGGAGTAGGTTAATGAAAAAATAGGAAAAAAATATAAGAACAACCTCCTACCCCCTCCCTTCTTCTCAGGCTCAACTTTGCTTCACCTTCTCTGCCTTCTTACTTTGAGTGGTGTAGGTGAATGAGGTATGGAGGCTGTGGTAATTTCATAACAATCTATGCTGCACCTTCCTTCTTACACTCTTCCCCTGCTTCATCCTGAGGTGTCCCACTCATGGGTTATGGTCATTCACAAACTTATCCAGCATGGATCCTTTCTGCAGATTCCAGTCTTCCAGGGATGTACTGCTCCAGACCCTTGAGGCCATGCAGTCCTGCAAGAAAACCTTCATGGAGTGCAGTCTCCTGTAAGGCACATCTGCCTGCTCCAGCATGGGTGTCCTCCATGGACTGCAGGTGGATCTCTGCTCCACCTAGGACCTCCATGGGCTGCAGGGGCACAGCTGCCTCACCATGGTCTTCACCACAGGCTGCAGGGGAATCTGTGCTTTGGCACATGGATCTCCTCCTCTCCCTCCTTGTGCATTGATCTGACAGTCATCAGAGTTGTTTCTTTTGCATGTTCTCAGTCCTGTCTCATGGCTGCAGTTGCACAGCAGTTTTTACTCCTTACATACGTTATCACAGAGGTGCTGCTGTGGTGGGTCTGTCCTGGAGCTGGCTGGAACTCGCTCTCTGACATGGGGCCCACTTCTGGTATCTTCTCATAGGAGCCACCCAAGCAGCCACCTACTAACAAAACCTTGCTATGTGAACCCAATACAGTTATTTCCAACTTAGTATTCATGTTACTTACAGTTTAATGTTTTGTTTTTCAGAGGTCAGATGATTTCAGGTGAAGACTGTGAATTTATTCAAAGATTTGAACAGAAAAGAAATCCAGAAGAAAAACAGGAGTTGTTGCAAACAGAAGGCAATCAAGTAACTTTCTTTTAATGAAGTCTCTTTTGGGGATGAATGAAATTTTCATATCTACTCTTATTTTATTGTTGTTAATATGCATACAGTTAAGATGTTGTGGAATAAGTGTAAAGCTTGCTATCATGATTCTTTTATTTTTTCCTTAGGTATGGGTTGGATGTTACTTCATTATTTTTAAACCTACTAAATAATTGTTAAATGTCATCTGCCTTTGATTTTGTTGTGGGACAAACTAGCTCAAGTCTTCCCTCATCCCAATTTACTTAATCATGTACACTTGAGTAATTTCTTTTGAGATTTTTTTCTTTATAGCTTATTGATGACAGCTGCTGCCAGTTAGATTACTGCTTAGTTAGCTAAGCAATTATAATTTAGTTACAGCTTGAAGTCCATTGACTGCTAAGGTGGATTCAGTTAGACGTGGGTGTCTCGTGTCATTTTAGGCATGGTAAAATATGAGGACTTTGCATTGGACAGAGCTGATTCAGGACTGAGTTGGCCCTTTGCCCTTATGGAGACCGGGCAGGATGCCCGAAGACACTTTAATAGCATTTGAATCAGTAGAATCTTGGCCTGAGGTTCTAGCACAGATGTCAGACATCAAGAGGATTGGGAGAGGCAGGCAGGAAGGTGAAGAGTTGATGCTTTCAACACGCAAACATTTATGGTGGTTTTTTCTACTTTAGTTTTATGCAGTTTGTTTTGGCTTTGTGTTTCTCTTCTCTCCAAATTGTAGTGTGTTACTGTTATCTAATGGATCGCGGTTTGCATAGTAACAAAAACATATGTGGTGTAACTTATATGTCACTACATAATTACAATTTAGCAGTTCAACATTCAGTTTTCTTTCAGTTTTACCTGAATTTGTTGAAGGGGGAGGAGGAAGTGTAAAAAGTAATGTTGTAACTATTTCAGCCTGTTGCTGAAATTGTAACATTCTTCAAAGATGAACAGAGATTTTTCTACAAAGATTATAGTAAGTGAACAGAGTAGTTACCAGTCTTCCTCCCTCCATTCAAAGTGCTGAAACTTTTTTTGTGCTCCTAGTTGCTGTTCTGTCAGTTTATTTGGTCTCACTACCATAAAAAAAAAGGAGAGGGAGACTTTTCTAATCTAACTTGCAACTAAGCAGTTGGTGACTTTCACTAGCAAGTACTTATTTAATTTGAAAGCCATAAAACAATTTGTAAAGGATAGCAACCAATATGACAGAAAAATTTCTTTGTGAGATAATGTCAAATGTATTCATCTCTTACTGCAATTGAATAAGATGTTGGGATGCTCAATGCTTATGTAAGACTTAACTGTGAATTAATAAGATCCTGTTTTATATTATCAAAAGGAACAAAGACAATTGCTAATATTAATTTTAATGTCTCTTTTATTTTTCTAGTGTGCTAAAACATTTATAAACTTGATGACTCATATCTCCAAGGAACAGACTGTTCAGTACATTCTGACTATGGTTGATGATATGCTGCAAGTAGGTCAATAATCTGTATTATTTTTAAGTCTTTAAATGCATGCTTGAATGTTTCCTTAGTGTAATTAATGTATTTTCAGATGTTTGTCATACTATGTTAAAAATATTCTGTTAAATTTTCAGATCCCGTCTTCAGAGATTAAATGTTAGACTTAAAGTTATAAGGGTAATTTAGCTTGAATTATATTCAAATTCTGGAAATAAAACAAACTTTTATACTTGTTTGTTGGTTCTCAACTATGTTTAATTCAAAACCTGGTTGTTAAAGCTAATGTTGTATAGTAGTTTCATTTTATGTGCTCTTAATTTGCAGAATTTTATTCTAAATACTTTTTTATTTGATACATCGGCTTATGTCGTAGTAGACTTGTCAGTGTTAGATTAATGGTTGATCTCAAAAGTCTTTCCCAACCTAAACAATTCAAAAATTCTGTGACTTGTGACCTCAGCCTTTTCCTGTGGTATAGGGAGGATATGAAGTTGTTGAAGCTTTTCCTTTGAAAGTGTTAATATGGCTACTCTCAGCGAGTAGGTGTAGTTTCTGCAGCTTCAGGTTTCCAACATAAGTTAGGTTGTTTGGGACAACATGTTCTGAAATTCTGCATGGTTTAATTATAAATGAGGAACTTTTAATTCAGTGTAACATACAGCTCTTTGTAGCTATGGACAACAGTGCCTTACAAGAGTAGGATATTAAACTTGGTCTCAACTTGGTCTCCATTCTGCTTACTTCTGAAGGTGGAGAGTGTTAACATACTGCCATCCTTGAGGAAACATTTCTTACTGTCTTCATCTGATAAATTCCTGAAAATTCTTTGTATTAGTGACCTCGTCACACTGCACAGTCTGTTACTTATGAAATCTTTAAGAACCTACACTCTAGTTGGTGCAGGTAGCAGTATCACCCAAACTTCATTATGATTCTTCAGAAATGACGGCTACTAAATTATTCAGCTGTTGATGTGAGAGCGTCAGAATTTTCTTTTCATCAGTGTAGTCAGTAACTTCCTAGGAAGGTACAACACTACATATTTCAGGGCTGCAGGGAGTTTTCCACTTCTTCTCTTCCATCTTGATCCTGCACCTTAATAGCAAATGAGACAAATCTTCTGACTGACAGCAAATTGAAATTATTTCAGCATTTCTGTTTCCAGACTTGTCTGTCTCCTCCTTATTTATGTTGTAAACTGATCTACTAAGTTTTGATTTTTCTTAGCTATCATGTTTAGCACATTCAGATGGTAACAGTGATTTATTTGATTGAATTGCCATTTCTCGTCAAGCAAGCCCTCACAGAGTAAAAACTCTCCACCAAAGGCGCTGTGCTCCTGACATCTTACTTTTATTTATTTCATAGTTTGTACAACAAATTTGAGAACATTTCTGTGTGCTTTTTTATGCATGCCATGTAGAGAATGGATCACTGTCAGGATTATAACTGGCAGATAACTGGGGACATCTGAGCTTCCCCAGTCTGTGATCAGGGCAATAGTTTGCATCCCACGTGGTACAATATTGTTGTGGTTCAACCCCAGCTCGCAGCTAGGTACCACACAGCTACTCACTCACTTCTGCAGGAGGGGAATGGGGAAGAGAAGTGGAAGAGTAAAAGTGAGCAAACTTGTGTTTTCACGTAAGGACTGTTGCTTTCAAGGAAGGGTTGGTTGCATCTCTAAGGCTGCAAGATGCCACTGCTTGAATCATGGATACATTCAGGTCATTTTGTGCATAATGGATCATGTTCCAATAAGGAGGCTTGCCTAGCTGGTTCTTTGTTCCTAGAGTTAACAACAGGGTGCAGAATTGACAGAGGAAAGCCTTTCTAGCTAGGGGAATTTGTAAATTAAAATGTCAAGGTAGTGGAGACTGAGATACTGTCCTTTTGTGAGTTTCTCATTTGCCTTCCTTGATAGGAGTTATGTACTTGGTTGTGGTAGTTTGACTTCAGTGGGAAGACATCTCTTCAGAAGGAAAGCTTCCAATCCACCAGGAAGCCTGGCTGGAAAGCATATGGAAATGCTTGAGGAAAGGCAAGAATTCAAATGTGAGATTTTTTGGGACTGTCTGTCTATATTCTAGGCTATTAGGAAAGAGCAGAGCTTTTCTTCCTCCTTCATGATTGTATGACCTGTTCTCTGGCCTGCTGTAAAGAGAACTGTAATAGCTGCTTTGCATAGTGATTATTAGGGGAAATACTTAAAGAGGCTGTCCCCAGTGCCCAGGCTCAGGTAGTTGTGGTCTCTTATGGCTCAGGATAGGAGCCCTGGAGAACAGACTTCTGGTGGCAGTGTCCCCTTATAGATACTCTGGTTGCGTGAGATAACTGCTGAATCAGGAGAGAAGAGCTCATTTCCAATTGAGAGGAATGGAAAGGCTTGCTTACACCCCTCAGGTTTCAGTTGTAGAAGTTGTACAACAGACTCTTGGAAGTAGCAGTACATTGCAAACTTCATATGGACTTTAATCAAGCATAATTGGTTAGATGAACAGTAGTGTCATTCTTAAAAAAATAACAGTATTTACCTTGTTTCTCATTTGCCTTACTCCACTTGCATGTTCAGAAGAATATATGTGTTTTTGATCAAGAAGGTGTTGCAGTACTGGGATACAGCTAAGGCTTCAAGGTTTGTTTCTTCCACCCCAAATCTCCAATCTTAATGTTAGAGTGCTGAAATGAGCTGTATCCACAAGTCATTTTTTCAGTCTAACTGAAAAATTTCTGTGGGCTCTTACAAGCCAGGATACACTCTGATAATCTATTCCAACATACCAAGGAGCAAATAACTGCTTTATGTCGAATGCTTTTACAAGTCATCTTTTCCTCTCTCTCAATTTTTACAGGAAAATCATCAGCGTGTTTCCATCTTCTTTGATTATGCAAAACGTGGTAAAAACACTGCATGGTCCTATTTTCTGCCAATGTTGAATCGACAAGATCTCTTCACTGTGCATATGGTAAGTTTTAAATGAACCTGTCTCTGAAGATGGTAGAGAAAAATGCCGGTTCTATTTTTCCTCAGGAGACTTTGAAATTTGAAACTAAACTTCTGCCTGGACTGGAAAGTTTTCTTCTTGCAGTCTAGACAATTCATTCTTAATACAAACTTCACCTAAGCACATTTTAAAAAGCAAAGTTACATTATTAATTTGCATTGGTTTATTTCCAGGAGATTAGGGCAGGTTTTAAAAATTCAGAAAAGCAGGGATTTTAGAACAAGTACAGTAAAACATACCTGAAAATCTCTTATCACAACTGCCAGTCAATGCTGTACAAATATTAGAATTTAAGTTCTCATCTTGTGCAAAGGAAATATCTTTACCTCGATGAACCTTATTTTCTCATATGCTCAGTTTATCAGCTGACTCACTGGAAGTGCACAGTGAGAAACAGAGAAGTGCTTGATGTTGTTCAAATGCTGCTCAGCAGCAGCTAAAACATTGATACATTACCAGCGCTGTTTTGGACACCAGTCTAAACCAAAGCATCATATGGACTGCTGTGAAGAGAATTAAGTCCATCTCAGCCAAACCCAGTACAGCTGTGTGCAGTGTATGGTTTCTGCTATGCTTTGATTACTGTTTTCTGCTCCTGTATATGGAGTAGCTTTTCTGGAGTCTTAATATTCTTCTGTTGTCAGTGGTTAGAACTGAACATTTCATCTCAGCAGGTTTTTTTTTCTTGTGGGGTAAAAATATGTTTGCATTACTGTAAATTCCTAGTGGAGACCACAGTTTCCAACAGTGAAATTTGTATTTTGGCTTGAGGAAGAGAAAACTGCACAGCTATGAATTTTTCTGAATTCATATATTTGTGCTGGAATGATATGGTAGAGTCCAATCAGAGACTCAAACTATAAACCCACTACCTGGTCTGCATTAGTTTGTGGGTGCAGAACTGGTACAAGCATTCCAGGATGCCAAGCAAGCCATACTGTTTGCCTGGGGTGTGGCCAGTGCAACTGTGTTAGGGGCTGTACTGCAACTTCAACAGTGAGCTGGCGTGTTCTCAAGAAAAATATTGGGCTTTATTTATTTATTTATTTAATCTGGTTGACTGCATAGATGTGAATCAGTTTTCTTGATGTAGCTGAGGGAGGAGGTGGCTGGGGTTTTTATTGGCCAATGCAATTTGTTTTGTGATTTTTTTTGGTGGTAGTGCTACTGAAGACCCATCCTGCAAAACTGCAGTTTGAGCAGTCAGACAATGCTGACTGCCCAAATATGCAGGTAAAGCATAATTTTTAGACACTGGCAGTGCAAACTATTTCATCTCCATGGAATGGTATTTTTTTAAACATATGGTATAGAAATTTTGATGGTCAGCATTTCTCTACACAGATTTGTGTTATTCAGATATTGTTTTCTTTAGGTACTGCAAAAATATACAAATAATTTAACAAGACACAGAATCCTACATGAAGTGAATCCACTTAAAGTGGATCCACTAAGTGTACTGTTTTAATATACCTTTTAGCACAGTGCATGTTTTTTTTAAAGCACATGAATGTTTTCAAACCCAAGTTTTGGGATTGTGTGATTTTTGTTGGTTTTATTTTCTTTTTCTCCTTACTATGCACACTGGAAGATTTTTGATGCCGCATTGTTACATCTGATAAAAATACTCATCCTCTGTGTAGGCTCAAATTCTGCTAAGTGTAAATGGTCTCTCATTCAGGGACCAGGTAGCAGTTTTAACTCAGAAGAATTGTTGACTAGAGAGCTAATACCGTGTGTTTTAAAGCTGGAGGGATTTTTTTTTAGGGTGACTTACTTGCATGAAGAAGGAGATTTGACATATTTTATACACAGTGTAGCGATTATTGTTCCAGAGTCACGCCTGCAATCCCTTTAGAATCAGTGGTGGTGATGCTGCACATGTGAATGCAGTAAGGTGGAAAGGTGGCTGGAATAGTGTCCTCACTGCATCATGGAACTATGTGCATGCAAATGAACCCCTGCTTCAGTAATTTCTTTTTACACTGCCTCTTTATATGTAAGCTGGCTCAAATGCTTTTGCAAATTAACTGCAGGCTGCAGCGTAGATTTACTTCAAATATAATTTGGAAAGTCTGATGTAGAAATATACTCTTGTTTAAGTATTCTTAAAGCCATAGGCATCATGAAAATTGTTAACTTGATGACATTTTTACTCCCCAGCTTCATTCTTAAATTGTACCTTCCATTTTACTTTTCTGCTCTTCTTTTTCTGGGCTTGAAACTTCTTTTTTGAACATGATTTCCTTCAGTTTAAGTACAAAAAAACTTCAGTACTATGTTACTATTTGTATTGGCATATGCCATAATTGCTTAAATCAAGCTTGCATGTGTTGGGCCATCAAGTGTCTTGCTTTTGATTGATTTCTGACTTTAGTGGTATCCTACAGCAGTAGCCCACCAACAGCTTCCCTCTACCTCTTCCTGAGTTCTTTATTGGTGCCTTGTGAACTTCATCAGCTGCAGGTAACTGATAACAGGCAGGAAGAGTCCCCTACATAGAAAACAGGTAGATTCCTGTAATGGACTATCTTTTATCTAAAATTGGTTTCCAAAGTTTACAGAACTTCTCACTTAATTCTGAAATTGCTGTGTTTGATAAATCTGTTTATTGCATTCTTTTTCAGGCAGCAAGAATTATTGCCAAACTGGCTGCTTGGGGGAGGGAGCTTATGGAAGGCAGTGATTTGAATTACTATTTCAACTGGATTAAAACTCAGCTTAGTTCACAGGTAAAAAGCTACTTTTGTTTAAACTTTACAGTAACTTTGGAAACTTTTTTCAAGAATATGAATGTATAAATGTGCAAACAAGAGGTATATTTTTAGTTTTTTTTTTTTTTAAAGCATGAAATTTTACTTTGTAATTTTTGAAGGTAAATGTTCTTAATTCAAGCACTTAATTTTTAACTTAGTATTTTAAGTATTATACTCTAGTCCTTGAAATGTAAATTCATGATAAAGCTTTTTGCCTTTTCTGTTGGTTAACACTGTTTTTTTCTTTTGGACACTGAGAAAATATGAGATGAGGGTTTATTTTTTTGTCTTGCTTCTATTATTTGGATTATCAGAGTTTTTTTGCTGGGAAGAAAAGTAACATGGCAGAATATAAAAACTTTTTTTCCAGTTTACTGTAGTACAAAGCCTTTACTTTTAGTCCTGTGTTGTGAAACTGAATAAATCCTGACTTATTTGGACAGTGTTTTTATGGTATTAGTTCTGTTTGAACTACTAACTTCTGGCTTGTCCTTCAAAGATTAATCATTCTCCTCTGTATTCGTTTTTGAACATTTTTCCTTCAAAACAGAGTGGTAGAACTACTAGTAGTTGTAGTAGAAGTGTATTCTTAGTGTTATAGTAGAAGTGGGTTCTGGAGAGGCGAGAAACATTCAGTAGATTTATTAATGGTATATTTTTCATGGTTTTCTAAACTGGGCTTATTAAAAAGGAATTTTATTTTTTTCTCTGGGAGGAGAATCTTAAAGTTGGAATTTGCTGTGGAAAGATGCAAGAGTACAGTTTGCAAATTCTAACATAAATAAATGTCTTGAATAAATCCACACTTAAAATAATTAAAAATGTTGATGTACTAGATCAGTTCCAAGCACGTTCTTCTAGGCATGAAGTATGTGTGGGAAATAAGTACTATATATTATGGTAATATATTAAGCAGGAAAAATAGCTAATAGATTCTAATTTTTTTTTTTATGACTAGAAAGGTTGGAGAACTGCAAGAAACTTGGTAACAGCTGTTCCTTAAGGGTGAAGAACAACTCTGATTTTAAATATTTATTTTTTCTTTTCCTAGAAACTACGTGGTACAGGGGGTTCTGTGGATACAGGAGCAGTCTCCACAAGTGATGTGAGTATATCTTTGAAATATGTCAATCTGCTATTTTGGGCAGGTGATGTTCACTCCTCAGATTAAGGTGCAGATCTCTTCTGGTGCCAGTGATAAGAAGTACTTGGAACCAGAACTGTACAACAGAGTGCCAGGTGATGGCGCCAAGAAACAAAAGTATTTTTAAACACTAATTTCACATATAATATTGGCAGTGGAAGTGTATATTTTGCAAGTTAGCCTGTCTTGTTAAAGCTGTTGATGTATCTAGGATTCTCTTTGTTAAAACTTGAAAAAATTATATAAAATAAATTTAAAATTCAAACCATTTTAAGTCCCTGACTTGGTGATCATAGAGGTCTTTTCCAGCTCAAATGATTCTGTGATTCAGTACTATCTATTTACCATTGAGCTGTTGGACTTGGAGAAGAAACCTGAAACCAAGAAGCTTTTGGGTGTTGTGCTGTGCAGAACTCAGAAAAGGGCACATCAGATATTAAAGCTGATATTGCACATAAACCACTGTGGCATAAAATTGCAGGAGTGCTTTCAAAGCTGTCAGCTTTTCATATCTGAATAGCTTGAATTCAGAGGAAAACGGATTGTCCTTTTTGCATCAACATTTTTTTAAATACTGAATTTCATGTAGCTGTAAAAGCTGCTGAGCTTGGAGATGAACTGTGGCAGTATAACAAATGCATCCTGACTGGATTTTCTGTGGTGTTGTGGCATGATGAGGCAGTTTATCATAGTTCTTGAATGTGGAGTAGAATTCAGTTTGGTCTTTTGTTCGTTTTGCAGCCTGAAAGTGGTCACAGTTTCTCAGAAGACTTAATTTGGGATTTGTTGTTCTTCAAAGTGTAGTCATGGCTTTAAAGTGTTAGCTTCTACAGCTTCCTGTAGAGGAGAAAACTCTTAAATTACCCTTTCTCGGGTTTAAAGTAGAAAAGATGCAAAACTGTTGTTCATGACTGTGGGTAGGGCATAGAACAATGGCCTGGGCATATAAGTTGAAGTATTTCAATATTTCATGTGCAGATCTGTGTTCCATAGTGTTAGATTTTGTTAGACTGACAGCCCTCTGTCATATAGCCATAAAAGAGTAAATGGTTCTAGAGCATACAGCACCACTTACTATTAAGCCATGAACTCCTCTGACTTGCTCAGGAATTAGTATTCATTACACTGTGGCACTGCATGGATGTACTGTGCCATGGCAGGGTCCCAGAACAGCAGAGTGCAAATATGTTTTAGGATAATTATAATGGGTAAGTATTGTCGTAACTTCGTTAGTGTTCGGATTTCAGATCTAGCTTATGCAGGATTTTCAAGCAGGTCCTGGCTGATTTCAGAGTTAATTAGAGATGCAGTTGTAGCATTTTATACAGGAAATGAGAGCTGGAATCTATTATGAAATTTCAGTTGTAATGGTGTTGGAAGACAATGCTTTCATGACAGATTCTTTTTAAAAGAAAACTCCCAAGTCCAATGGGTTGGTGATCCAGATAGATTAATGCAGTATTTGGAGCGGGAGAGCCGTCTGTGTGTTTATAGCTGTTTTATTTGCATGGGGTGTGAAAATGAATACTTTCACAGGGAAATTGATGTTCTAGATGATTTGAGCCCAGATGCACAGGCTTAGTTTTTACATAAAGGACTTAAATCTCTCGTGAGAGACACAGAATGAGTTACTCTTTATTTTCAATTCTGTTTATTGCCTCCCTTCTTTTCATATGGGATTGCCTAACTTCTTTACTTCATTAAATGTTTGAAAGGTTTGATCTTCTATTATGTGAGTGAGCTACCATGAGACTTTCAAGGAAAAGGCTTATAGGGAGGAAAAAAGCAAACAACATTTTATCAGCAGCATATCTGATTAATGTATGGTTAGTATTAGTGAAGGCAATGCTGACAATTGAGTAAAAAGAGAGAAAAACATGCTCTGGCAACTTTATTCAATCAGAAGACAGCATTCATTCATAGATACTGAAGGAAGGCATGTTCAAATGTTCTAATAATGTAAATTAGTATCACTTGCATAACACTTCTTTAATATTCAGAACTCTCTCCTTTTATGCCAGTAAAGCCTAATTAGGGAAAATGTACTTCAGCACTCACTACCTGACTGTTCTGGTAAGAAGTGATGTGTTCTTCTTTTCACCCAGAGTTCCCAGTATGTGCAATGTGTTGCTGGATGTCTGCAGCTGATGCTCAGGGTCAATGAATACCGCTTTGCATGGGTAGAAGCAGATGGAGTAAATTGGTGAGCACCTATTCAATTTATATGGATATAAATGCACTTACAGTAGTACATTCCCCAGTGACTTTTGATTGGAATAGAACTCTCTTGTAATTGACATCTGTCCTGTTTGCCTACAAGAGATTTGTTTTTAAACATTAACAGGGTCAAATAGACAAATGAAGTTTGCACTGTTGAAGCTTTGATGCAACTTCCCTTTTCAAGAAGAACTGCTTAAGTATGTATCTGAACAGGAATATAACCATTTGTCTTCAGCTGAAAATGTTCTGTTTATTTTTTAGTAGAACAAGGACTAATGAAATGAGTTTCTGCTAATCATCCTAGTCTTTGAGTTTGGAATTGTTCTGTCTGAAATTATTAGTGAAAGGGGAAACATTTTCTAGAGCTAAGACCAATTTTTTTCCACATATGGCTTCAAGTAGGTCACTCTTTTATCCAATTCTCCTAATAAATAGCTTTGCATTAGGCTAGGATTTCAGCACTAGTCTTATTTTAAAAGTGCTTGCCTATAAATTCTTTTTCTGCCATCTAGGCCTCTACTGGGAATGGTTGGTACATAATTTGAACTTTAATGAAAAATATCCCTTTACACTGAAATAGAGAAAAGTCAAAATTCCTAGTGAAGTAAAATTTCAAGTGATGTTCCTGTGTGTCAAGATGACACTGCTGAAACCAAGGAAGCTTTTTAATCAAGTATTAAAGCATTACAATAAGCCTGTGTTTCACCATGTTTGAACTTGTCTTAAACTTGATAAGAATGAATGTAGATTCTTTTTTAAAATTTAAATTGAGATATCTATTTCAAAATTGCTTATTAAATTTTCAAAACTTCAGGTGGGCAAATCTTCTGCATGATGTCTTCTTGAAGATCTTGTGGTACTATTATTTTTCTAGCAGTATTTTGTATATATGTATCTATGAGGCATTTTCTGAGAACTTGCTGTTAAATAATGAACACTTCAGCTCATTTCAGACAAGTCCACTTGTCCACTCCTGTGGACAAGTACAATTAAGGAACGAAATTCAATTTGTGTAGATTTTGATCTGTTTATTTCTTCTTAAGTCTGAAGGAGTAGCTGAGATTTCTCTGTTTCTTCCAGAATGACAAATAATGCTTTAAACATACCAGTAAAAAACTGTTTTTGTGAACCAGAAGATGGATACAGTACCACATCAGTTCAAATGGGAAAAGCTGCTTTATGGCTCTAAGGCTAATGTGAAGAAAACAATCTCTTTAAAGATGGCTTTCTGGATAAGCTGCTTATACAATGATTAATAATGATGCAGGTTACTGTGAAGTGTGTGCTGTATGCTCATCCTCAGCAGCTCTTTACAATAAGTTTATGTTGCTTTTTTTTAACATTTCAGATTGGAGCAATGCAACCTATGTTGTCATTATTAAAAAACTAAATGTGTGCTATGTCAATTTTTTAGCATCATGGGTGTCTTGAGCAACAAGTGCGGTTTTCAGCTCCAGTATCAGATGATTTTCTGTGTGTGGCTGCTGGCATTTAGCCCTCAAATGTGTGAATATCTCCGTCGGTACAATATTGTCCCCGTGCTGTCGGATATTCTTCAGGAATCTGTCAAAGAGAAAGTAACCAGGATCATCCTTGCAGCGTTTCGTGTGAGTATCTGTCGACTGCAGTTGTGCTGTGCTTCTCTCACAAATTCCTGGGTCTCAAGTGCTGTTGATGGACAGTTTTTTTCTGCTGGACCATATCAATAAGCTGATTGAAAGCTTAACTTTCTGGAGTTTTTTGTTTGGGTTGTTGTGTTTTTTTTTTTTTTTTTGTGAACTTGAGTTTTTGCTAGTGGTAATATACAGGCTATTACTAGTAATAGATAATCTGCTATTCAATGCCTTCTTAAAATAAGATTGACTAAAAAGACCAGTGTTAACACATTTTCTGGTACTGCTGTAAAACCCTGCAGTTCTTAACAGCAGATATATTTTATCTTATGAAGCTTTACTTAACAAAGTATTATTTTGAATGCATATCTTTGTCCAACTGAGAATTTTATTAACTAGTCCAAAAGTCTTTTCTTGGTGGCTCTGTAAAGGCAGAGGAGAATACCCATCTCAAGACTGATTAGTTGACTTACTGTGTCTGCATTACCTGAAAATTTCTGGTGCTATTTAAGATAATTAGGAAGAACTGAGTACCTAGGCTTGATGTTTTTACTGTGAGAGTGCCATTTTATGTTCATGGATGCTACTAGTTTTATGTGCATGCTTGCCAAGTGTCTTGTGAGTAATACAGGAAAGCTGTAACAACTTGTAACGCTGTTTTCAAGCAGCACTTGGTATCCTGAGTAGGAAATTAGGTTTTGGAAGCTGTTTGTTGTCCTGGATTTGGATTGTGTTCCAATAGTAAGTGTGGCAAGCGCATTAGATTGGGGAGAGGGAAGTTGTTGCCTACTGACTTGCTGATTAGCAATGATAAGCTGTGTGAAAATGCTTACTCTGTCTCTCTATCTGAAAGCATCTGCCACTGAAATATTTCTGGTTAAGGCAGATCATAAGAGTCTGCTGTTTGTCTTGTTGAAGGAGTACAGTGGTATTAGGTGTTCAGTAGAAGCTATTCTTACTATGTATTCTTACTATTCTTACTCTCTAGATGTTGTAATGCTCTTAAAGATCTTAATGTTATGATTAAGTGGGGACATATAGTAAGACAAATTGGAAAAAAAAAATTAAAACAGAAAAAGAAGCTGAGAAGTTCAGCAGTTAATATCCAGTTTCTTCCTATTCTGAGGTCATAAGAAGTAGGAGAAATAATCGCTAGTTCTTAGATCTACTGTGTTTTGCAAGAGGAGACAAAAATGAAGCTACATTTTTTTAAAATAAAGGCTAAGAAAGAATAAGTTGTTTCTGTTACAGGCTTGGGGGAGTGTAACTTAGCTGTTTCCTTTCTCCAGCATTAAGAACTCATGTTGGCATGAAGATGAGTTGTTAACTGGCAGCTAGGAACATAATAGATTAGAAATTAGAGCTGTGAGTTCTGAAGCAAAATTAATATAGGTAGCAGAGGAAAAGTAGTCCTTTTCCTGTACGAGATGCCACAGTTATGATGGGGGAGGGAAGTAAATAAAAGACTAGGCTTGGTGATTACCCTGTCTGTGCATTTTGGAAAGTGCTCCATGAGTCCTGACAACTTGGATGTCCTTTCTACTACTCCTAATTTGAGATATTTCACTTTTTTTCAAGTTTATTGCCTGAAGTATATAACTGCAAATGTAATAATTTTTTCTATAAAGCAACAAGTATTGGGCAATCCTCTCTCTTTGAATCTACTGTTTTCTCTACCTATTATTTTATCCCTTCATTTTTCATACGTTTATTCCCTTGTACATCTGTTTCCTGCCTAGAACTAAATCTTATACCTTAAGATTTTGGTTTTTATTACTGAGTAGTTTACTGATCCATTCTGTATAGTCATATGTTTGTGTTTTTACTTTGTTAGCATATCCTTTCAAATTCACTATGAAAAGCTTGAGTATGTTACTATGGTATGAGATAGGTAATCATATTTAGAATAGCTTCCACATCTGCTTGCAATTATCTTAACTAGGAGTTCTTTGGAACCTTTATCCACCTGCTCCTTGAACCTGTTGAATTGTCTTATTTGAGGTTCATTAATTTTTCATTTGCTCTCATTAGCAGTTTTAACTCTAAGTAAATTAGCATTACTTCTGTGAATTACCTTGTAGTTCTCTTACTTGAAGTAGAAACTGGGTTGCCTTTTTTTGCCCATTAAAACGAATTGTATATGGCCATTAAAAAGTAGTAATATGACTTATATTTAGTTTGCAAGTTTTAAAATTGATTTGCAGTATTCTGCCTCAGTAACTAATAGGATGTCTGATGTAAAAGAAACCTCAAGTGTAATAGTCCTGTGACAAGAATGATTCAGTCAAATTCCTTCTATATAGTTTTGCTGCTTATTTCTAGCAGATGTTAAATTCTATTTATATGAACACCTGTTTATTAAGGACTTTGTCTTTTATATGAAATTCATGTTTTCAGCTTTATCAAAAAGTGCAGGTGGCCAGCTCTGATTGAAAAATATAATTGAAAGCTTATTAAATTGAGTAGAAATGGAATGACTAGATGATATTGAAAATTGACTACTGCTTCTGTGCTTATACTTGCAATCTTACCAACAAGCTTCTGTTTAAATAAAAATGTCTAATTGGAATATTCCCAAACTTGAAAAGAGCCAGATGCTAACTTTGTTTTGGAAATAGGATTTAAAGTTATTTTTTTAAAGGCTCTTAGCCTTATGCTATTGCTGCACAGAAAACTAGAATGATAATCCAAGATAAAAGTGGTTGTTTATGGTGGAGATTCTGGTATTTGGGATATAAGCCTGCCCTTTTTCTTGGAACAGTATTTGTGTCACCTCAGTTTCATGTGGAAAATATTCAAAACAGATTAATTACTACTTTCTTTTATTGAAGAAAGACACTATTTCAGGGAGCAGTCAATTTTGTGATTTAGAAATTTTAAAAGTTCCAGTAAGAGTATTTCTGTAAAATACTGCTTTGTTTAAAACTAGTCTGTTCTTAAACAAAATAAATACATTTTTACTTCCCTAGAATTTGTTAGAGAAATCTACTGAGAGAGAAACTCGCCAAGAATATGCTCTTGCCATGATTCAGTGTAAGGTTTTAAAGCAGCTAGAGAATTTGGATCAGCAGAAATATGATGATGAAGACATCAGTGAAGATATCAAATTTCTACTGGACAAGCTTGGTGAGAGCGTGCAGGACCTTAGGTATGCTTTGCAGTGTGCACTTTAAGAAATGCAGTTATGTGAATGTTGGTAGAATCCTTTTATTTTGTAAGGCTAAAATATCTACAAAATTATGATATGTAAATGCTATTTAGTAAGACAGAGCATACAGAGATGTGTTGGTTGTTAGTTTCCTATTGTATGTCAGTATTTAGAGGCTGAATATAAAATAAATCTTCACTTACATATGTTATCTTTGTAACTGAGGAATTGTTAAAGGACTCAAAAGTGATCTTAAATTGAAGTCTACTTAATTAGAATAATTTCTACTGTCCAGATTCACCCAGGTTTTTGCTGGTGTTTACCTAGTTCTTGGTCTTGTACCTAAATTGAAGTGTGTATTGTAGGTAACATCAAAGGTTTACGTGGATAGAAGGTAGACGGATATCCTTGATTGGGGAAGTTAAAGCATAAAATCCCAGAAAAACAGAATTAAATTCCAAAATGTTGCATTTGGTTGGCTTGGAGGTTTTTTTTAATACTCTTTTTTAAATTATTATTTATTTATTTCCTGGGAATAGTGTTTTGGGATGAGACAGAGAACAACTCTCATATGCTGCAGAGCACTGACTTCCAAATTTGTCATGGCAATTTCAGCTCCAGCTTTGTTAGGGACAGGTTTGGGCATATGGTTCAAAGTGTTTGTAGAAGCTTGGCCAATATCTCATTTAGGTCTTGTGTTGCAGCTCCTTTGATGAATACAGCTCTGAGCTCAAGTCAGGAAGACTGGAATGGAGTCCTGTGCACAAATCTGAGAAGTTTTGGCGGGAGAATGCTGTACGACTAAATGAGAAGAATTATGAACTACTCAAGTAAGTTTTCAAGTCTTGAATAATGTGATCCTGTAGTATTTTCTGTGTTTAAAGGAACCATAATCTAATAAAAGTTTTACATTTTAACACGAAGTCAATAATGAAAGCAAGTCAAAACATCCTGCTTATTTTAGAATGTATATTTTGCTGTGTTCAAAACCAGAACTGTTTATTTGCTTTTACTTGTGAAAATGTATTTATGATAGAGGGAATATCTTTAACTTGCATGCCGGTTTGACTTGATTAAAAAATGTTTTTACTGTGTCTTAATCTTAGATTTGTGTTGTGTGGTGATGTTGATCTGAGTAATGGACTCCTGTCTTGGATATTTGGGGGTTGAAAGTTGTAGTACTGTTCCATGAAAAATTTGACTCTGCATTGTGTCTGTTTTGTGTTGGGACTGTGTTTGGAGTATGTAGATTGTTAGATAAAGTGAACCTGAACTTGTATTTATTTGCAGTCAAGGACTGGCTGTCTGGCATATGAAACTGTGTCCTGAAATGATGCCTGGCTCTTGCCATTAACTGATAGCACATGGTGTTCTTTCAGTTCAGGGCTTGCTAATAAGTGCCAGATCTAACAGAAATCAGGAGGTCAAATGGAGTATGTGAGATGTTAGAAGACATGGCAAGAGCAAGGTGATCCTGAACTTTGTGTATTTTGGCTGGCCTGACACCTTAGAAAAATTCTGATAAATTCTTCCCTGAGTGCATATTGTAGGATTGAAGTTGAATATGTAGGATTATAGACTTAAAAATTTTAGATGCTGACAACTGCAGCATGAAGTTGGTGTTGAGGCTTAGTATTTCCTGTAGTGATTACAATGTTTTGTTGTCTTTATTTCTGCTGATTCTGGGACTTAGTTTCTTGTACTGCTGCTACAAAGACACTGATTTTCAGTAGTTCCTTTAACACACCCCCAACTCTCAAAAAAATCCCCCAAAAACTCAACGCCACAACACCAAACCAAATAAACCAATCCACAAAAATCTGCCATAACATAATGGAGAGATTCTTGCACCTCAAAACTTCATTTTTTGCCTTGTAAGGCATTTGATAGACAATCCTTATTTGCTTTGAGCCATATTATTTTATTTTTCCTCATCTGCCTGCTTATTAGTTTTTTAAATCAAATGTTCTCACACTACTGTTAAACATAATTATTTTCATACCTTCTGCCATTGCTGTCTACTTTGATGTTGGACTTGTGTTTTGTTCAACATCATTATATGGATCTTTGGTGTGTTCTGCTTAGTGTTATGCTTCAAGTTTCTGCTTCCTCTTCTTGTCAAAAGTAGGAGTTCTTTTCATTTGAGAAGTCGTTTTTCTGTCACTTTCTGGCCTCTAGGGAGGCAGTGGCTGTGGTAATTTAATTTTACCAGGATGTTCCTTTTTTTTTTTAATTCCAGTTGAATTTTTAACCTGCCTATTTCAGCTTGTTTCTTTCTCTGATTAGAACACATTTGTCATCTCACTAAGCTTAGAACACTCTAATTTTCCAGTGATCTGTATGTGTAACCTTTTCAGCAGTGCCTAACCTTCATAATCTGTGTAATTTACCCCCCTTCTCATTACTGCCTAGAAAACAGTGTTACTTGTAGATATTTTCCACTAAAGGTGGTTTAACTACTTAATTAACAAATTCAGACAGTGTTAAGAGTCTAGAAGCTTTTTTCTGCTGCTTGCAGCTCTGTGTTTCTGTGCATGCTACGAAAATAATGTGGCACTGGGAGCAATTTACAAGTATAGCTTTCAACTCAGTCTTTTAGTTAGGACTGAACTGCTTTTTAATGAAGCTTATCTAGAACTCAGAACTGTTGGTCTTGAAGCCAAAGTATAAAAAAATGAGAGATTTTGTAATCTTTGGTTATAGGTATTTGTATATGTGTAGCTCACTAAACTGACTCTAATGAAGACTTTGTATAATTCTGTTAATTAGGGCAGGTTCCCAGTTTTGTTAAGTACAACTGCATGTTTGGAAAAAGTTCTAGTTTTACTGTTTGGGTGACTTGTAAAACATTTTCATGCTTATGGGCTTTGTTATTTTAAGTTATCACTGATTAAAAACCCATCAACAAATAACAAAACCAAAACAAACAAACAAACAAATTAAAAACCAACCCAAAACCTGGGACTTCATTGTTTCAAATTCTTTCCTAGAATCCTGACAAAACTTCTGGAGGTTTCTGATGATCCACAGGTGCTGGCTGTAGCTGCTCATGACGTGGGAGAATATGTACGACACTATCCCCGTGGGAAACGGTAGGAAAATGCCAATATGTTGTTATCCTAGAAAATAGCTGGAGTGTGTATTGTGCCTGTGGCATTTTCTGCTTATTTATATTAAAATATGCTACAGAGGGATTGCAGGTTATGCTTAAGTTTTATTTATTGGGAGATAAGGAAGCACAAACTAGATCAGATGAGAAACTGCAAACTGGATCTTTGACTTAATAGATTTCAATGTCTCTTAACCGTGAAGGGAACCAATGATTAAAGTAAGTATTGAATACAATGTTTAGACTAAAGCAGAATTCAGGCACTAGAAAAATTCGGAAGAACTATCGAGAGTTTACTCAACATATAGTTTTTCCTCTCTATGACTAATTGGACTCTAATTATTGGACTTGGAGTAGACATGGACTGTTCCAACAATGCTAAAGACTGTTTTGTGACTTAAGACTACAGAGAAGATTTTTCCACAAGCAATTGGTAGTGTAATTTCAGTGATGCACAGATTCAGTTGTCACTCTTCCATTTAAGCATGTTTTAGCTGGACAAATACTCATTTTTGTGAAAGCTTCATGTTCATTATAAACTCAAATTCCTGTTGAAGTACACATGGACATTGCTATATTTTCCTGCTTTAAAAACCTGAGAGCAAAGATGTTTACTGAGTAATTGCACCTCTTAAGTTAGCATTGAAGCAGAAAGAACCAAAAGGGACTTTGGTTTTTGCAGGAATCTGGCTCATCACTCACACAGAGGGACATATGACTTAATTTTTGTAGCAAAGAAGTGGTCTGTTCTGGTTTCTGCACAAGGTTTAATGGATGTCATTGTTTAACCCCAGCTGGCAACTTGGGGTGCATGCAGCCACTTGCTCTCTCTCTACAGCAGGATTGGGAAGAGAAACAAAAGTAAAAGTGAGAAAAATAATGGGTTGAGATAAAGACAATTTAATAGGTAAAGCAAAACAGGGAATTTTTGGTAAAGGTAGGTCTTCATCATGCATAATGGGTACTTGGAAAGACAAACACCATGACTTTGAATGGTTCCCCTCTTCCTCCTCCTCCTCCCAGTTTGATGTGCTGAGTGTGTTGCTATATCATATAGAATATCCCTTTGGTCACTTGAAGTCAGCTGCCATGGCTGTGTCCTGTCCCAAGACCTTGTGCGGCCCCAGCCCCCCTTGCTGGTGGGGTGAGGAGCAGAGAAGGCCTTGATGCAGTGCAAATGCTGCTCAACAATAAGGAAATCAACACTGCTTTTAGTACAAAGAGGAAAATTACCTACCTCAGCTAAAACCAGCTCAATAGGTAAGATGAGAACTGCCTTCTAGCCTTATTGGGAATTTCATTAACACTTCTGGTGCACTGCTGTCTTGAATAGAAGTAGAATCATGGACAACAGACTGAACTTTCAGGCTATATGTATGCTAGGAAGATTTGTCAACTCCAGCCCTTGTAGTCTTGTAAGAACTGAAATGGTATTTGAAAGAGAGGTAAGATATCCTTCAGTGAGGTGGAAACTAATAGTGATGCAAGTGGCAAAGCTGGAGGACTGGCTAATGCTGGTTGTTCTTGCTTTGAGCTGCTTTTTGTATGAACCTATTTTATTACATGTTTGCCACAATCTTTAAACAGTTTGAGTGCATTTACCTGAATGTGTGGTCTAGTATGGCCATGCAGTTTCTGGACCAAAGCTATGAAATTAGAGTGGATAAACAGGACCTGTATCCTTCTGTCTGTAGTTGGGAAAATGTATAGCTGTTAGGACTCCAGCTCCACCTAACTCCCAAGCTGTTAAGCCTATTCAGCATTGTGCCAACCTTCAAAAGGATGTGTTCTTACCAAATATGACTTCAGCAGTTTTGGAACTAAGTAAAAGCCTAAAATACCTTTGGATTATATGTTTATTTCAGCGTAATAATCTATTTCTTATGGGTTTTTGATACATAGTTGTGTACTGCTCCCACGTGTGATTGGTATTTCATGATCATTGCATGACTCTCTTCAAGAATGGATACATTCTTGAAGTTTAGAAGAGTACATCCTTGGTTTAGAAGAATAGAAGAATTCAGGTGTCCTAAATACTTCTGTTTCTGTTAAGTGTTTATTGTGAACTCCTAACTGGATCAAACTTTAGCCATTGAAGGTTGCAGAGATGAATTGAATGCTAAACTGCTTGACTTCACCTGCTGGGCACAGAGGAGACCTAAGCTACATTACTGGCTAACCTTTCCCTTTGTCTGACAAAAGAAATGTTTGTTAACAAAATACTGTGTTTCTTCATGGCTGTTCTCCAATGCTTAAATAATTTAAAGTTGCTTTTAAAATTACACATTGTGGATGAAATTGTAGTGACAGTAGCACAGTGGGCTTCTCACAAGAGTCACAAAAGGTGAATTTTCTGAGAGTGTAACAGCAGACCTGAAGTACAGCACTGGTGCTTCCACCAGCACAGCTTCCATGTGGCCCATGGCTTATTGTTATGTATGATCAACATGTAGAATTTCTTGAATTCTATGAACGAGGGCTTTGTGGTTTACATGTATGAGATGGACACCTAGAGCCATTCTCTTCCTTAGCTCAGGACTCAGAAAAAAACTTGCATTCCCATTTTCATCCTGGCTTTCAGACAAGTAGTGTGGATTTTATATTTGTTTTCTTCTATAACACTCTAAATTGTATTCATTTGTCTTTATTTGTTGTGTCTTCTTCCTCCCTCTAAATGGGTCATGTTAAAACCTGAATCTTCGGCATCCAGAGACTTTTTTGAACTGCCACTATTTTGGCTTAGTGCAGTGTTATTATGGGGAGCAGTCATTGCAAAGATGTGCACATATAACTGTTCCACTGGGCTCTATTACATCTGTAAAATAAGCAGCAATTGAGGAAAGGGGAAACTAAATATAGTGTTTTGGAAAAGTTTGGACCTTGAAGGAACATGATTCACTGTAAACCTTCTTCACTGTTTAGACCTTTGGGTTAAACCTATGGCTGGGAAGTGATTTGTACCTGTAGGCAGCATTATGCAAGACTGATAATACTATTCTTCAACTCCTCATGTTCTCAGCCATAATTTCGGTGATGTATTGTCATCTGAAAGAGCCTATTACCATTTGTGATTATAGGCTTTTAACCTTTAATTTTGGTTCTTGAATTCTTCTAGTATAAGGGAGCTTTTGAGTTTAATGCCTTTTTCACATCCTTTCACTTCCTGAAAATCCAATGCCTTAAGTCAATCCTCTAATAAAAAAATATATTATATGTGTTTTATACTCTTGCCTTTGTGTGAAATGGTTTTATATTTAACTCATTAAAAAGGTGAGGCTGCATAAGGGAGGCATAAAGGCTTTTTTGAATCTGTTATATTACTAACAACTTCTTGAATTCTTGGCAAGGATTTTTCAGCCTGAAACAATTGCAGTTTTCTGAATCCATTCCTACTTTATAAAACAAATTTGAGAATATTATTGGGAAATAATATTCCCTGTGGTCTTAAAGATAGTTTTGACTGAGTTATAAATGAAATTGAAAATTCTCTTTTTCATCTCCATGCTATGTCTTCATACCTGGTTTGTAGTTTGCAAAAATACATTGTGTTGTGCAGCAGTAATGCATTAATCTGGCCATCAGAAGAGCAGTACGCCATGCAGCTAGCTAATGCCAGCTTAGAATGGCAGGACAACATCAGGTTAAGCCTCTAAAGCAAATGATAGTGTCTTCACAGGATAGTATGTTTAACTACTAAGTGACCTGTGGGAGAACTGATGTAAAAAAACATGAAAGTCAGTGAGTAAATCCATTTATATATTCCTTGCCAATTCTCTCCAAACTTCTTGCTATGACAGACTGAAATGCTGCATGTGAAGTCATCTGGATAGTGATACTGTTTCAGGTTTTAAATTTGCTGCCTTCCACCGGTTTTATTAAGAAATAATATATTCATGGCATGTGGTACAAGGTTCCATCAGTATTTCATAAGGGATTTGGTATAGCTGTTAAAAAGCTAAGGCTGACTGTGGTGGTGACCTTTGTAGTGAAGGATGCAGCTGAAGCCCTTTTTCTGGGAATGGTACCTTAACAGCCAGTTCTGCATCTTGTGCAGGAGTATCTGTAGCTCTAGTACAGTTTGAATCTCAAAAAGGATTTAATAGGTATTGGTGTGATTACAAGCATTCTTCTGTATTAGACAGTGCCAGAAGAGATTGAGGTTTTATTCTTGCAAAAAATGGAGTGACCTGGTTGTCATCCATTTATGGGGTGGAGGGCACTATCTCTCCTACCTAATAATTGATAATGCTTTACCCTGCAAACCCTTTTAGAAAGCTGTGTAAAGTAAATAACCCTTTCTAAAAAGGGTTCTTTTCTTGATTTTTTATTCCAAAGCAGCAAACAGGAGTCCAGTATAAACACTCTCTGTTGTGAATTCTTAAAAATTATTAAAAAAAAAAATCAGTAGTTATTACAGAAAATATTTTGCATCTGTAACATGTGAGGTGAGATATTTATCTTGGCAAATAAATAAATATTACATAATGTAAATGTAACCTCTTAATCCCTTGAATGTGAAGTGGTTGGATAGGATAGCTACTCAGAACTGAAAGTAATGTCAAAAAACTTTCTTCTGTCCTGTTTTTCAGAGTGATTGAACAGCTTGGTGGTAAACAGCTGGTCATGAACCACATGCATCACGAAGACCAGCAAGTTCGTTATAATGCACTACTGGCTGTGCAGAAGCTGATGGTTCACAATTGGTATGTGAAGATTATTAACATAGTACTAACCATGAGAAATATTTGTTGTGAAGAGAGCATTCAGGACCGTAGATTTCTTTTAGGGGAGAAACAACATTTTTATGTGTTAAGACAGCAGTTTTTAAACAGCAGATTAATGTTATGCTTATAACATTACTTAGTTCTCTGTATTTTGGAAGCAGTTGATTTAAGTAGCTTCCTTACATGGTTGAATGTCACATAAGTAAAGTCTCTTGAACAGTGTATTTTAGCTTAGGTTGGGTATTAGGAAAAGACTCTTCATCCAGAGGGTGGTTGGGCACTGGAACAGGCTCACAAGGAAGTGGTCACGGCACCAGCCTGACAGAGTTCAAAGAGTGTTTGGACAATACTCTCAGACACGTGGTGTGACTCTTGGGCTGGCCCTGTGCAGGATCAGGAGCTGGACTCGATGGTTCTTGTGGTTCCTTTCCAACACAGGATATTCTGTAATGAATCTATAAATTTATTTGAACTCCTTGTGGAATAGAAGAGGTTTATGGGCCGATTGAGTAGTCTCTAATAACCCTGAGGTCTTGGCAAGTTCTGCCACAGAACTTGCTGGTGTGTGATGCTGCCTTTCCAACAGCGCACAGGACCTTTATAGGGAAGCACTGAAGGGCTGAAGCTCTGAAAAACAGTGTTCATGAAGCAACTTTGTATAAGTTGCCAAACTAATTATGTATGCTAAGCATAAAGCATGGAGAGTTAAAAATACTAATTAGAAGTTTTTAATCTGGTTATTAATTATGAGTGCACCAGAGCTCATATTTTCAGTCTGGAATTGCTTTAAAGCTAGATAAAATACAGCAATACATCTGAGTATATTGGAACATAAGTGTTGAAATACAAAAAACTAATTTTAATTTTGGATTTAAACAACCTTTTATTTCTGAAAAGCTTAGTGCTTGGACATATCTATAACATCTGTCAGCTTTCTCCCCTATGACAGAATATGAACTTTTTGAAAGGCTGAGTAGGGCTGATGCTAGCATTGTGAAAGTGGTAGGGGAACATGGACTACTAAACACCTTCTGGCAGGTTAAGTCACCTCCTTGCTGTGACAGGTTGGCTAAGTTGACAAAAAGCTCCCATTGTCTCTCTCTGCAGTGTATCATAGGTAAAATAAAGTTAATTTTCTCCCTTTCCTTCTGAAGAATATAGGTTTTAAGGTTTTAACTCTCATGCATGTTATATGCATTTTATCCTACTCCCTCTCTTACATATTGTGGGAACCTTCTATAAAAGAGAAACGTGTGTTTAAATACCCTACTATGAAAATTCCAGCTAATACTCTCCACCTGTAAGGGGTGCTTTGAAGATCACATAGAATTCTTGAGTGTGGAGATGGAGTCTGAACACATAGTCCTGTTCAATCTAATTTTTGGTCATTATTGTATATTATGCTCTACCCTGCTTCTCAGTTTAATACATTTCTTTTCTCACTATGCTGTTCTGATACATTTGAAACATTCTGAGTATTACAAACCAGCTGCTATTAAATAGAGATTACAGCGTGGAAAGTTTAGTTACTGATAGTGTCCTCTGCAGTAGGGATGGGCTTTATTTCATGTGTGTTCTGATGTCTCGAAAATCTGGTAGGAAGACCTTTGGTCTTTCTCCAGCACAAACCTCACTGGTAGGAAAAGTTTTCCTGAATGCCAAGCCTGGCTTTTTCTTACTTTCAGTGAGAGACGACTACTTGTAAAAACACCATGTCTAGTCTTCTAGATTTGTTTTGGTTTTTTAATGGTATGAACATTTCTGTGCCTGCTTTTCACAGTTTGTGAACCTTTAGACTTGAGACTGAGGGGGAGATGGCAAAAGTACCTAGTTTCAGCTCTTCAGAGGTGTCAGTAAAAATAATCTGTGTGATTTAAGTGTCCCTTCGAGATTCACATTATCATCTCTGTTGGGAATGTTTTCTTGTTTAATTCATAGCAGAACAAGCCTCTGGGACACATTGTCCTTGGCTCTTATTTGCCAAAGTAGTGTTCCCCCTGGCACAGACTTATATCTTAAGTGAAGGAAATGACAAATTGTTTGTATGTGGGAAGCTAGATCTGTCTTTGTGTAGATCTGGCTTTTGATGAGTGTTGGGAGCTCTTCTGTTTCATTGCAGTCTCTTCTCACCACACAAGCTGAGTCCCCTGACTGCCACACACTGTGATTTAAGTGCCTACTTACTAAGCTTTGCATTGTCATAAGATATGTTATTCAGCAACTTCAAGGTTTTGTTTCCCTTGCTCTTCAGAGCTGGGGAAACAATAAACATATTTTCTCTAGCTTCCACTTATTCTAGAATTACAGCTATTTCACTCAAAGCAATTGTGTTTTTTCCCTCGAGTTTAACTGGCACAGAACTCTCGGGGTTCTGTGGTCAAGATGACCCCGAGATTGTAAGAAGTCTTTTTCTCCCAGCCCCGCAGCCAAAGAAGTCCAGATGCATCAGTTTTGCTTCTCAAGGTCATTTATTTTCTCTTATCTATATCATTCTTTCCCTGACCTGCTAAGCTCTGTCTAGCAAGTTGTATCGTGGCATTCTGTCTGCCCTCTAGGGCAGTGTTTACATTTTACAGTATGAACTATATGTTCTTTATTTATGAGTAATTCCCAATACCTATAACCTATGTTAGACAGTGTGACTCTACTCTAAACCAATAAAAAGTGTCACTATCACAGTGAAAGATGGAGGACAAGAAGAAGGAGAAGGACGAGACATGCCCAAATTCCTCCATCTTGCCTTCTGAACCCCATTCTAGAAACCCCAAAAATTCTACTTTTTCACCCTGTGTTACATTAACTCAAACTCTTGTGACATCTTGTGACCTTCACACAAAGTTGGCAGTTTTTTTCACAGGCTAGAATTGAAGCTACAGGTGTTTTTGACTTCGTGCCAAGGTCTCCAAGCCCCCTCCCAGGGTCTCAAGACAGCCAGGGCAGCCAGAGGGATGTCCTGGGTTCCCACACGGAACAATTTGGCATTACTGTCTGTGACATGTGTGACAGAGGTAGTCAGTGTTTTCCTGAAAGTTAACTGAGACAAAGGTTTGCTCTGCCACGATGACCTTGGTGCAAGTGCTGTGCTTGGAGCCAACAGAGTAAGGAAAACTTGGGATGCTTGAATTGAGGGAGTGTCATGGGGCAGCTGAAGTAGCATTCTGCCTGAAACACAGCTGTATCATTTGACTGTTAGCTCAACTTAGAGATAATTAACTCCAAAGTAATTTGAGTAGTTCATTACAGGCTGCTCAACTGGCTTTCCCTTAGGGGTTTTTAAGTCAGGGATTAATGGGGGGAAATCAGACTGTCAGGCATTCTCTTAAATGGTGAAGCTATGCTGGCAAAAGCAGTAACTGCTGTCAGCTTTTCAGATGAGATAAGTTCAAGTGAAATATTCCAGTTACATTTGCATGTTAAATGATCATGCACTTGATGAAGCGAGGAGCAAAACTATCTTTTTAGCATCACTTTCTGCCTATACATGAGAATTAATCCTGAGTTTCAATCTGCCTTGAATTGTGTTAGTCATGGCACCCCATGCTGATAGTACGAACCTATGCAGTGGGTTGACCCTGAACCCACCAAAGCCGCTGTATCGCTCCTCCATGGCTGGATAGGGGCGAGAAAACACAATGAAGGATTCCTGAGGTGAGATAAGGACCAAGAGATATCACTCAAAGTACTGTCACAGGCAAAACAGGCTCAAAATAGAGATAATTAATTGAATTGGTTACTAACAAAACCAGAGCAAGATAGTGAGAAGTAAATATGACCTTAAAAACACCTTCTCTCCACCCTTCCCTCCTTCCAAGTTCTACCTCTTCCCCTAGGGCTACAGGTAGATGGAATGGGGGCAATGGCCAGTTCATCACACATTTTCTCCCACTAGTTAGGGAGAGAAATACTGTCCCTGCTCCATTATGGGGTCCCGGCCATGGGAGATAGTTCTCCATGTACTTCTCCAACATGAGTCCATCCCATGAGCAACAGCCCTCCCCAAACTACTGCAGCGTGGGTCACTCTTCTGCAGGGTGCGGTCCTTCAAGAGCAGGGTGCTCCAGCATGTGTCCCTCCACAGGGTCACAAGTCCTACCAGGAAACCTGCTCCAGTATGGGCTTCTTTCTCCACGGATCTGCAGATCCTTGTCAGGATCCTGCTCCAGCACAGGCTTCTCTCAGACATTCACCTGCTTGGGCATGGGGCTCCTGACCTCCTCCTTGATCCTGACATGAAGAGTGTGAGTGTGCTGGCAGGTGCTAAACCGTGGGAGTTAGGATGTGTCACTTCAGCATGATCAAGCACGGTATGGAAGTGGAATTTGTAAAGGGCATACTGAATGAAGCAACAAATTGGACAAGCTTTTGACTACGCAACAGGTTCATATATGATTTTCTAAATGCACAGCCCAGACAAAATTACTTGCTCTCCATCTTTTAAAATGAGGAATTCTGCAGGGATACAGTAAAAAATCTGAAAGATGCTATATTTAGAAGCTGTTACTCTGCAGCTAGCTTGTGTACAATGACTGCATTTGGGAGTGAGAGGTGCAGGGTGTAATGATTGTTAACTGGCAGCCACAAAGTTTGCACCCACCTTCACCCCTTATTGTTCCCTCATCCCAACACTGAGGTGTGGAATGCTTAATAGAACAGTAGGCTTAAATTTACAGGAAAATAACTTCCACTATATTTATTTCTCCTGGTTCTTAGCCTTAATTATCACTACAATTCCCTTTCAGTAGTTAACAGAAGTTAACTAAATGAAAAGTGTGAGAAGATAGTATCGCTGATAAAAATTAATATTTTTTAAGAGAACAGTTCCTAGCTAGAATGAGACAAGTTAGGCAAAAATCCAATTAATTACAGGCACACTTGATATCTCTTGGAGTGTTCCATCTTTTTATTTGCACATAAATGTGTATTCTTGTAAAGCTTCATTCCATGTAGGTGTAGAGGCTGTGTTTTTTATTTGGCATATG